TGTGGAGCCTGCTTGGGATTCTCTCTCTCCCTCTTTCTCTGGCCCTCCCCAACTTGTTCTCTTTCTCTCTCTCAGTCTCTCCCGTCCCCCCAAAATAAATATTTTAAAAAATAAAATAGAATGTGGCACTAAAAATTAAGAGTCTTAAAAATACTCTTGCCTTTCACCCAGTATGCCCTTCTAGGAATAGTAAATCATAATGAATTGTGTAAAATTCTGATAAAAGAACTTGGAAGCAACCTAAATGTCCACATATACGTTTGGTGGAGTAATATTTAAGCTTTTAAAAATAGCCTTATATGGACGCCTGGGTGGCTAAGTTGGTTAAGTGTCCCACTCTTGAGCTTAGCTCAGGTCATGATCTCACGGTGTGTGTTTGAGCCCCACACTGGGCTCTGTGCTGATAGTGTGCAGAGCCTGCTTGGGATTCTCTGTCTCCCTCTCTCTGCCCCTGACCTGCTTATGCTTTCTCCCTCTCAAAACAAATAAATAAACATTTTTTTTTAAAAGTGTTATAGATAACTATTTGTGTCTTGGAAAGATAATAATTATATATTATTTAGTTTTCTTTTCTTTTTTAACCCAAGGGTGACCCAGCAGGGGTTGAGAGATTGGCTACATAGAAGCAGTTTAAGCAATGGATTAAAGGAACCAGGTTTCTTGCTGTCAGAGAAGAGAGTTACAAATATAAAAAGAGAGAAGGTTAGAATAAACCCTGCAGTGTTATACTGAAATTGGAGATTCTGATGTAGACACATGGTATTCTGTATGCATAAATACAAAATCAAATATATACGTATTATATATGTATATATGTATATTTACTGACTTTGTCCACTCTTTTTTTTATTTTTATTTATTTATTTATTTATTTATTTTTTCAGCGTTTATTTATTTTTGGGACAGAGAGAGACAGAGCATGAACGGGGGAGGGGCAGAGAGAGAGGGAGGCACAGAATCAGAAACAGGCTCCAGGCTCTGAGCCATCAGCCCAGAGCCTGACGCGGGGCTCGAACTCCCGGACCGCGAGATCGTGACCTGGCTGAAGTCGGACACTTAACCGACTGTGCCACCCAGGCGCCCCATGACTTTGTCCACTCTTAAAAAAAAGGAGGGTGCCTGGGCACATCAACTTTCTAGTAAAAGAGTATCAACATTCTGGTTACAGTAAGCACACAACTGCTGAGATCTTGGTGTGTCTATACCACTCTCCATTAAAAAGAACCAGGGCTCCTTGGAGAAATGGCTAATCCCAAGGCTGGAGGAAGGAAAATACACAAGAAGCCTGGAATATCTTGTTCCAGAAAGGAAGACAGTGCTCAAAGAACAATGGGAACATGTTAGGACATGTAAGTTAGCTTGTAGGAGCTCCCACTGGCTAAATTTGGGATAATATAATTGTCAGAATGATTAATAATAGTAATAGATTATACCCCCATTGAAAACAGTAGAAATCCTGGGGTGCCTGAGTAGCTCAGTCGATTAAGCTTTGGACTTTGGCTCAGGTCATTATCTCGCAGTTTGTGAGTCTGAGCCCCCATCAGGCTCTCGGCTGTCAGTACAGAGCCCTCTTATGATCCTCTGTCCCCTCTCTCTCTGCCCCTGCCCCACTGGTTCTCTCTCTCTCTCTCTCTCTCTCTCTCTCTCTCTCTCTCTCAAAATAAATAAATAAATTTTACTTTAAAAGAAATAAAACAGTAGAAATCCATGGATCCACTCTGATATAAATAAATGAATGAACACACAAAAGAAGAAAAGTCTCTTCCTTACAGTAGAATGTCAACTAACAAATGTAGAAAAAATAACAGACTTAGAAAATCACCATTTGGTAACTATCATAGTAATAATACATTTAATTAAGAAACTAATAAAAGAGAATTGGTTGATGAATGGGATATATACACCCATTCTCAGAGTATCTCCACCTAAAATATTTATGAATTACAAAGGAAAAATAAGAATTCCCTAGTGGAAAAACCTGGCAAATACCATCTTACTCAAGTAACAAAAGTCAACACCACCACTAGTTGACAACTTGTGTGCCGTCTTATAAGATGCTAAAGAGCCCAACAGCCCTTTGAGATATGCCTGCCAAAGACTCATAAGCTGAATCTAAATCATGAGGAAACATCAGACGAAGCCAAATCAAGGGACAGTTGACAAAACAGCTAATAATCATAACTAATAATAAGGTTAACAGGGCACCTGGATGCCTCAATCAGTTAGGCGTCCAACTTCGGCTCAGGTCATGGTTTCATGGTTTGTGAGTTTGATTGGGCTCTGTGCTGACAGCCCAGAGCCAGGAGCCTGCTTCAGATTCTGTGTCTCCTTCTCTCTCTGCCCCTACCCAACTTGTTCTCTGTCTCTCTTAAAAATAAATATGTTTAAAAAAATTTTTTAGTAATAACATTAACAACTGTAATCTTCAAACGCATCAAGATCATCAAAGTCAAGTTAGGACTGGAGTTGTCTCAGAATGGAGACTACAAAGACATGAAAAGAGCAACATCTGTTTCTGGATTGGATCTTTTTGTGTAAAGAATATTTATTGGTACTTAAGTGGGATCCTTGGATGATGGGTTTAGGGAGTTCTTTGTTCTGTACTTCCAAAATTTCCCTATGTTGTAAAGCATTTCAAAATAAAAAAATGTGGGTATAAAACAATAACTATGATTCTATTTTGTAGAAGCTGTGTATCATAATACACATGATACATAGAAAGGTCAGAGAATATACATCAAAATGTACAAAAAAATATGGTTATCTCTTGAGTAATGGGACTTGTTTGCTTAAATTTTTTATTGGTGTTTTTGTTCATCTATATTTTCTAATTGTTAATTAATATGTATTCTCTTTGCAATGCAAAAATTTATTTTTGTTTTTTAACTTGTATTCATGCACTTCGGTAGTTTCCAGCCTTAAACAGGAAAGATTACATTACAAGGCATAATTGCTTCATCTATAATTCAATTAACCTCTACAATATATAATATACTTGCAAGTCATTGCAAGATTGCCTTCCATTTCTAAAGTGTGGAAAATAGTCATATTTTGGAAACGTTATTTATCTTTTCTCTTTATTACTTGTTGCTCATTGATCATAGTCTTGAAAAATAATCTTACTGTAATTGAATCACTGCTTTTCTCATTATTACAATACAAATTTAAAAATCAATTAGCTCTGCTAATTACTACTTATCTGGATATAAAAAATACTGAAGTAACTGTCTTTAGCTGTTGTGAGTTTCAGCATCTTTTTATTGCTTTTCTTAATTCACTTGGGATCATGTTATGATTATAAACTTCATTTTAAAGAATAATTAGAAATACTAACTAGACTGAATAATTAGTAGTGTTGCCATAGTACACAATATCTGTTATTTAGCAAACTCATACTAAAACAGTTTGTGATTCTTGTTAAATTATACTAATTGAAATGAAATGTATTCAGCATTCTTATCACTTGCAAAGGCAAAACACTTATATATTGGCCTGGACTCTCAGAGCAAGAACCTTCAAAATGAATTTCAAATTCTGTCCATAAAGTTAGATTCTTTATTAGATTCCAGTGGGTAAATTTGTACTTATGGACATTGTTCACTTAATTTATAGAACACAGCATTGAAAACATACAGGGTGTACTTTTTTGCATGAAAACTTTGAAAAACATCCCCTGGGTCAGTTTAACTGAAAAGAAAATGAATAGTGGGCCTTTGTGGTCTGTTCACACCTGGATGTACACATACATCTCCAATTAACTGAAACAAGAATTCCCAGATGTTTCCAGCAAAAAGGATATTTTTAATCACGTCATAGTGTTTTGGCAGGTATTTTCTTTTTTTTTTTTTTTTTTTTTAACGTTTTTATTTTTGAGACAGAGAGAGACAGAGCATGAACGGGGGAGGGTCAGAGAGAGAGAGAGAGACACAGAATCTGAAACAGGCTCCAGGCTCTGAGCCATCAGCACAGAGCCTGAGGCGGGGCTTGAACTCACGAACCGCGAGACCATGACCTGAGCTGAAGTCGGCCGCTTAACCGACTGAGCCACCCAGGCACCCCTGGCAGGTGTTTTCATTTATTTTATTTTATTTTATTTTATTTTATTTTATGTTATTTTATTTTTGGGGGGGAGTGAAGATGATTTTTTTTACGAATATAATTTATTGTCAAGTTGGATTCCAAACAACACCCAGTGCTCATCCCAACAAGTCCCCTCCTCAATGCCCATCACCCACTTTCCCCTCACGCTCACTCCCTCCCGCCCACCCTCAGTTTGTTCTCTGTGTTTAAGAGTTTCTTGTGGTTTGGCAGGTATTTTTAACTATGCCAGTCAGAATGTTATATCATGAATCCAGACATGTTAACGGCAAACCCAAGTCAGAGACACAGAATTCTAATATTAACTTTAACACCCCTCCTGCATAGGTCTCTATACCACACACTACCTTACTTACCACATCTATAATTCAGAGTCAATATTACTTTGTGCAGTGGCAGAACCATTTGAGCTTGGCCTATAAAAATTAAATTAGGGACACCTGGGTGGCTCAGTTGGTTAAACATCTGACTCTTGATTTCAGCTCAGGTCATGATCCCCAGGTTGTGGGATCAAACCCTGTGTCAGGCTCTGTGCTGAACGTGGAGCCTGCTTGGGATTCTCTCTATCTCTATCTCCCTCTGCCTCTCTCTATCTCTAAAATTAAAAAAAAAATTAAATCATATAACATATATAACCTCATACCCCACCAAACTGCAGCTACTTTTACTTTTACTGTAGCTACTCCTCAAACCAAAGTCTCAATCAGAGAAAGACGCAAGGCGAATAAAACTGTCCTTAAAAACACCCAGGATAGTAACAAATTAGATAGTTAATTTAAAGATTGCATCTAAGTTTAGGATTATTTTAGCTACACATACAGAAAACCTAACTGAAAATGGCACAAAGATCATTTACTAAGGTAGTAACTTTAGAGGGGCTGCAGGCAAGGTTAATTCCATACCTCAACAGTGACATCAATGACCCAGGCTCTTTCTGTCTTAATGCTCATTGATCTTCAGTGTATTAGCTGTCATCCTCAGGCTTATCCCCTCATTGTAGCAAGGTGGCTGCTACCGCCCCACACATCAAGTTGGCAACTATGTCTGAAAGCAGAAAGGGCAGTGTTGTTCTTTTCATCAGGGAAAATCACTTCACAGAACTTCACCAGCAGACTTTCCACTTGGGTCCCTTGACCAAGACTTATTGGATCACGTGCCAGTGCCCTAGCCAGAAGGAACCTGGAAAGTACCTTTCGGACATTTCAGCCTCTGAAATGAGAATCAGCTTTCCCAGCAAGAAAGAAATACAAGAAGATGGAAAGGCTGTTGAGTGGACAACCAATAGGGTCTACTATCCTGAGTGTCCTGGCCAAAGTCTTGCTTTTTCTTTTCTCTACTTTTTAAAAAATATTTGGACATTTTATATAGCTTCAAGTATAAGTAAACCTGTCAGTTGCAATTCATGTGCTTGTGAATATGGTGCATTTATGAGACCTTGTTTTTACTTAACTTCACAGTTTCCAAGGGCTGACCAGAGATAGGTGTATTCCAGTACTTCTGTGCTGATAACATCCTGCATTTATACATGGCTCCTATTTTTTATGATGATAACTAGCACTTGTATAACACTTAGAGTTAGAAAAGCCACTTATTCATATATCTTTCAAGCCTTACTCTCCATATAAAGACTGTGTCCATTTACTTAAAATGAGCACAGACAGTGGGGAGGCCCTATATCTGGCACTCCAGAAAGCCAGAGACTAGACAGGTAAGCATTCAGTTTCTGGAAACACTGTCAACAAATAGCTGGGCCTCAGCCACTGACCTACAGCTCCGAACAGAGCGCCAGTCTCTGAGGGGAGGAAGACCAAGGACAGGATGAGGCTTCAGTCCAAAGGGGAACTTCTCTAATAGGAGGTTAATAGATGAGGACTTGTGAATCAGGACCAAGGTAGAAACCTACAAATGAGACCTACGCCTCAGGGGTAATACTATAAACCCAGCAGGTTCTAAGTAAATTTTGAGATAAATGAATGGATGAATTTTGATGACTGAATGAATGAGATAGATACCAGACTTGTAGCAGAGGTGATTTGATACTAAGCCATTGCATGTTGATCTGGAACCTAGTATTATTCTTAGGAACTGGGGACCGATTGCATCTATAATTAGGGATCAGATGCACCATTTGGGAATGAAAGGAGGAATGAGGCCAATTGGGGTTTTCATTAATTCAAAGTTTGCTGAGAATATAAGTTATCTGGGGAGCTTATGAAGATTTTATGCAGATTTTCAGCCACCTCCTTAGAAATTCTGATTCAGAAGGTCTTCTGTCAGGCGACATTTTTAACAAGAATCCTAAAGTGGCTCTAATGCTGTGGTCAATGGAATCATCTTGTATTCCTAATTAAGCAGTAAGCCCCTTAAGGACCAACAGCATGCCTTAGATTCCTTCTGTGTCCCCCATAGATTTTAACTGTAGGATGTGAATGTTCGCTATGCGTGTCGATTGAAATCTCTGCCAGTCTAAATTAGGTCACTGGAATTGACCAGTTAGGATGATCGTAGAGAGTCACCTGCTGAAGAAGTTAAGAATACTCACTAGCTTAATGCTAATTGATTACTCCCATCTGCAATGTGCTAGACATTGTAGGGGAGCCAGAGGTGAGCAGGACACAGAGTCTGCATGTGAGGTAATTACAAGCAGTGGGGTACAGATCTAATTTAATACAAAGAAGAATTTGATGCATGTTATGACATGAATAAAAGTACAGGGAAAGACGAACAATTAGAGAAGGTCAGCTATGCCTTGAAGAACAAGTCTGATTTCAGTACATGATGGAAGAAAGGAATTGGTCATCCCACAGAAAGGTGTTCACTCATTCATTCATTCATCCATTCACTCAACAAATGTTTACTGAGCTCCTGTCATGTGCCGAGCATGGTACTAGGGGTTAGAGATACAGAAATGTGCAATACCAAGTCCATGCTGATGTTCTAGGGAGGATAGGAGATCGTCAATAAACAAATTAATTAGTAATGACCTATTATGCTGCACTTGATAAAAACTGACATTCTCTCCCCTGTGTATGGAAGCTGTGTAAAAACTGAATTGAAAGGGAGGAGAGATGGGAGCAGGAAGGCCGGTTAAGAGACCAGGATAACAACACAGGAAGACATGACAAGAATCCAGCTTGTCACACGGACAGGAAAGAAATCAATTCAATAGAAAAACGGTAACATTACCAGGATAACAAGAAAAACAAATATGAGCAAGTTATAGTTTTCATGACCTCAAGACCTACATCCTCACCCCTTCTGCTGTCCATGTCCATCATCCCTAGAATGGTGTCCCCAGGACTTCCCTGGACTTCCACATGGCCCTTGAGATGATATGAAGGGAAAACCATAGATGCCGGGAATGATCTGCTTCTGTGGGGCTGGTTCCCTTTGAGGGACACTTCTTTACCACTTCCCAATTATTTTTCTATAAGGTAACTGGTAGAGTGTAGCCTCAGGTCACTGACTTCAAGAACTCATGTCGTATCAGGAGAACCAGTTATAAAACACAATGGCTGGGCACTGTGGAAGCTAAGTAATTGATTAAATTTTTCAGTTTTCAATCCACAGTATAGGTTTTTGGAAGAAGTATTGAATCAAGTTGTTTTAATTGAACTACACATAACTATCACCTTTGTTTTCACTCTAATGTCCTAGATACTAACCATATATGAATGGAAAGATGAAAGAAGAAAGGAGGAAAGGAAAGGAAATAGCTTTTATTTATTTATTATTTTTTTAAGAGAGAGAGAGCGTGCGCACAAGCAGGACAGGGACAGAGGGAGAGGGGGAGAGAGAATCTTAAGCAAGCTCCACACCCCAGCATGGAATCCAACATGGGGATCAGCCTCATGACAGTAAGGTCATAACTCTTAAGCAGCTGAGTCACCCAGGTGCCCCAGAAATAGCTTTTACTAATTAAAGTAATTAAGTAAGCCGAAGTTTTGTAAATGGAATCGACTTGAATACTCTAAGGGTGGTTTGATGTAAACCTGTCTGGTATAAAATAATGAACAAGCTCTACAAAGACCAGAAATGGTCCTTTCCTGCAATTATAAAATAAATGCTATTTCACATCTTACAGATTATAACATACTTTCACATGCATCTCATGTGTCCTGACATTTAGACTCTAAGCAGCAACGTTGTAATATAGGGCTTGTTACTACCCCAATTTTGCTGATCAAGAAGCAATTCCATGAGGTCAAGTGGCTTGCCCAAGGTAAAAGTGCTAGGAGGTGACAAACTCTAGGTTTTGTATTTCAGTCTTCTAATGAGCCCCTCTTCCCTCCCTGTTTATATGAATAATAGATCTAAATTTATACACATTGAGTTTGTCTAAAGCCAGATACAACTAATTTTTTTATATAATTATCACCTCACAAGTATCAAGGGGCTTTCTTTTTCTTTCCTTTTTTTTTTTAAAATGTTTACTTTTATTTTTGAGAGAGAGTGTGTGTGTGTGCTAGCAGGAGAGAGGCAGAGAGGAAGACAGAGGATCCAAAGGGGCTCTGCGCTCACAGCAGAGAGCCTGCTGTGGGGTTTGAACTCAAGAACTGTGAGATCATGATCTCAGCAGAAGTGAGATGTCTAACCGACTGAGCCACCCAGGTGCCCCCACTTTTCTTTTCTTTTTTTTAAGTAGACTTTACCTGCAGCCTGGAGCCCAACATGGGCCTTGAACTCACAACCATGAGATCAAGACCTGAGCTGAGATCGAGTCAGACGCTTAACTGACTGAGCCACCCAGACACCCCTCAGAGGGCCTTCTTGACAAATCTACATAGACAAATCTATGTTAATAAGGTGCCAAAAGATTATTGACAAGCTGGCCAGTAAACAATTTTCAAATTATTCAGGTGTACCTTACTTGATCCATGATTTTCTAAAATGCATGAGAGAATTTGTTATGTAAAGCAACCCTTTTTTCCCTTCTTTTGTAAATGATTTCTTTACCTAAAAAAATGATCATGGATCAGGCTTACAATTACCATTGCATTCATGACGGTGTTCAGTTGCGAGCAATCAAGACCAATTCTGGCTATCTTCAGCAAAGAGACCATTTTGCAAGGATCTTGGGAGCCCACTAAATCAATGGAAGGCTAGAGAATCATGCTTGAGATCTAGGATACCAGGGGGCCAGATAAGCCAAGGTCACCCCACAGGAGCAGTGGCCCTTCACCACCAGTCCCATAAGAATGACCTTGACCTCCAAGGTTCCTTTTGTGCCTCCATTGTCGTGGGATCCAAAGCCCTGGGAGCAAATGTCCGATCGGTTGAGCAGACCACGACACTACCACAAAGTGAGCTGAGGAATAACCAGGTCCCCTTATTTTCTGTTCATGTGCAGAAATGGGGGAGAAGGGGAGTGAGCACTGGGCATTGCCACTTTGCAAAGACTAACTACAATGTTGAATTCTCCCAAAAGGGTGATCCAGAGGCTGAAGGGGACTGAAGGAGGGGTAGAGTGCTGCCCCAGTGCAATAGATTGCAAAAAAAATAAAATAAAATCCAGTCCAAGCATGTTCCTCTCAGTATTGCGTATCATACTTAAAGTGGGGAGAGGCATGAGAACATTTTCTGACAATAAGGGATTTAGTTAAATTATGGTTCATTTTATATAATAGAAAACACTGAAGCTATGAAAATGATGTTAAGGCAAAATATTTAATGATCTGAGAAGCTAGTTATTAAATATTAATAAGAGAAAAAATAGATTATAAAGCAATATTTAAAATAGGATCCTATTTTGTAAATAAGAACAATGGAGGGATATGTACCCCCAAATTAATAGTTTATCTCTGGGTAATAGAATTAGGAATGTTCCTTTTCTTTTCAATGCTTCTCCCTATAATACCCGTGTATTATTTTTAAATGATTAAAAGTTGGTTTAATGTGCATATATTCTCATTAAATAGATAATTTCTTTTGTTTAAATATTCATATCCATTGTCTTAAATTTTTTTAATATTTATTTTTGTGAGGGTGCAGGTAGGGGAGGGGTAGAGAGAGGGGGACAGAGGATCTGAAAGCGGGATCTGAGCTGACAGACTGACCGCAACAAGGCTGAGTCTAATGTGGGGCTTGAACTCATGAACCATGAGATCATGACCTGAGCTGAAGTTGGATGTTCAACTGATTGAGCCACCCAGGTGCCCCTCTATTGTTTGTCTTTAAATTATATATGTGTGTGAATCCTATTTCAGTGTTTAATAACTGTGTGTCCTTGGGTGAGTCACTCCACTTCTCTGAGCCCTTGTGTGTAAGATGGTGCCATGATCAGAAATAACCTATACATACATATACTCTTTGACCCAGGTCCTCCAGTTCTCAGAATTTATCCTACAGGTAAAGTTGCGTTTAAAAAAAAAAAAAAAAATGTTTGGGGCGCCTGGGTGGCGCAGTCGGTTGAGCGTCCGACTTCAGCCAGGTCACGATCTCGCGGTCTGTGAGTTCGAGCCCCGCGTCAGGCTCTGGGCTGACGGCTCGGAGCTTGGAGCCTGTTTCCGATTCTGTGTCTCCCTCTCTCTCTGCCCCTCCCCCGTTCATGCTCTGTCTCTCTCTGTCCCAAAAATAAATAAAAAACGTTGAAAAAAAATTTAAAAAAAAATAAATAAATAAATAAAAAATGTTTTAGGGGCGCCTGGTTGGCTCAGTCGGTTAAGCGGCCTACTTCGGCTCAGGTCATGATCTCACGGCCCCTGAGTTTGAGCCCCGCGTCGGGCTCTGTGCTGAAAGCTCAGAGCCTGGAGCCTGTTTCAGATTCTGTGTCTCCCTCTCTCCGATCCTCCCCCGTTCATGCTCTGTCTCTCTCTCTGTCTCAAAAATAAATAAATGTTAAAAAAAAATTTTTTTTAATGTTTTAATGTTTATTTTTGAGAGAGAGCAGGGGAGGGGGCAGAGGATCCAAAGCAGGCTCTGTGCTGACAGCAAAGAGCCTGACATGGGGCTCGAACTCACGAACCATAAGATCGTGATCCGAGCTGAAGTCGGATGCTTAACCAACTGTGAGCCACCTGGATGCCCCTGTAAACTTGCATTCTTAAGAAGTAATGTTTTTATAGGCTTAGTCATTGTAGCATTGTTGGAATCACAGAAGTTTTTAAATAACCTAACTGTCCCCCAGTAAGGAACTGATAGGGTAAATTACAGGACATGTGTAGGATGACGTCATTAAAAGGATTGGAGAAGATCTTTTTTTGCATTCATAGGCAACAATCTCTAAGATACTAAATGCAGAACTGTGCGTATAGTACACTAGAATCTTTAAAAGGGTAGGAAAGAAAGTATTCATTTACATTTATATGCATAACTTAGCTCTAAACAAACTGATACCATTAAATACCTGTGAAATGACACATCACAAAAAAGCTGGTAACATTAGTTGCATGTGGGAGGGTAGCTGAGAGGCTGGGGCACAAATGTAGCGGGGAGAGTTTTCACTGTATACTTTTGTACTGTAGAAATGTTGAAACTTATGACTATTTTTTATTTAAAAATAAATAATGTAATTTAAACTGAAGGGATTAAAAATAACAAAATAATGCTGTAAAAACGTAGTATGTGGCTAGCACTTAGATATCAGCCTCTGATAGAAAAGCTATCTACCACCTTCGTGAGTAGTAAGGGTGTAAGGCTTAAGGCTGCTTGCTTTTTTTCTCCAAACATTAACCGTGCTCCCTCTGGTGGAGATACCCAGGAATTGCAACAAATGGGAGAAGAAAAATTGAACCGAGCCCCTCCCTGATTAAGTGGATTGATTGATTGATTGATTGATTTTATAATTTATTGCCAAATTGGTTTCCATACAACATCCAGTGCTCATCCCAACCGGTACCCTCCTCAATGTCAGTCACCCACTTCCCCCCTTCCCCACCTCCCATCAACCCTCAGTTTGTTCTCAGTATCCAAGAGTCTCATGGTTTGCCTCCCTCCCTCTCTGTAACTTTTTCCTCCCTTTCCCTTCCCCCATAGTCTTCTGTTAAGTTTCTCAAGATCCACATATGAGTGAAAAACATGTGGTATCTGTCTCTCTCTGACTGACTTTAAATAAGCGGATTTAGATACCTACCTTCATCTCCAGGAAACCACTGCAGTCCATGCCTGTTCAAAGCAGCTCTCAACTTCGGGAGACTGGTACCTGAGTGCTTCCCATGGCACACAAAGAGTTAATAATATATGTGGTCACAGTGGCCAGCGGATGTAGCTCAGTTTACACAGACCTGTGGGTGTATCTCGTAAAACTTCAGCATCGTGCATTTTTAAGTAAACAACCTAGAAATAAATGTCCAAATATCGTCCAAGGATCAAGACAAATCAACTGCTGCTATTCATCCACAAGCATGATTTGTAATGAAAATGACTAATTCAAGCAGCTTCCACAACGCAGGATGTCAGAGGTAGTTGTACAGTTCTCTATTAGTTGATATTTGTGTTGCTGAAGGAGCAATATTCCATCCACGTCAGGATTTTTCCTAATGTGCGCCCTAGTGAAGCCTCAAGAACGTTTAAATCCCATTAGCACTATCCCCACTGGAGGGGGAACTGATTTAATTGGGAATCAACACACATTTTACACCTCTTTGGGAGAAAAATCTCAGGACTTGGATATGTTTAACAGAAAAGGCTCTATGTATGGCACTATGAGGAATAATTAAGCTATAAATTTCATCTTTGTTTGCCAAATGAGAATGCCTTTTTTAAAAAAAAAAAATATGATCCACTCTTCCCCCTCCCCCCAACTTTATCTGTCTAGGTAAATATAATTAGGTAATGGATGATGATTTGTTAGCATTTTATTTCCTGTGTTTGCAAGGGCATTAACAGTGATCAGAAAGCACACAACAAATGTGGTCAGTTTCTGATTTTCAGAGGCAAGAACGTGACTTTAGAGAATCAGATGGGCCAGAAACAGGCATTCTTGCAAATTAACTCTTCCTGTATTCCGAATAGGATCAGAGAGACTTTTGTCTTAGCTGATTTGCATGCACTAATTGCTAGTGCTGAGTAAATGTGGAGTGATCACCTACACAATTACATTCATAAATTAATATTTTTTTACTCCGCTGTTATTTACACACAGGAAAAAACAGTACAAATAATTTTGAGGCTGTGTCTACACTTACATAATGAAGTGGTTAATTAAAGTAATGAGCTAGTTAATGACAGGCCTAGAAATTTTTCATGAAATATCCATATAAGGGAAGAAGAAATGTCTTTGCCTGAATAATTCTCATAATTGCCTCAACATTTGATTTCACTTTCTATGCACAGAGACATGCCCTAAATGACACTTTGGTTATGAATCTGAATTATCCTTTGATTTCTCATGGGCGCTACGGATGCCAAGGCTAACTGCCAAGGTAACAAGATTAAACGAGGGGTATCACACAGAAAAGAGCCCCCCCCCCCCCCCGGAAGTGCTGAGCACAGACTGATGCAGGCAAGCACATGGCACTGAATGTTCAGAAACAGAAGCTTTGGCTGGGTCTAGATTAAATTATTCCTCCACCATCAATGCCAAGGGGTCACTTTATCACTCCCAACCCAGAATGATCCAGAACCCTTCTCACTGTTTGAAGCCGTGACTGGGGTGGCGCTCCTCCACTCAAGCTCAAGGACCCTTTGGCCCAGGGATATAATTGATAGGGAAATGAGACTCTGGGGAGGAGAAAGGACACAGACATAATTTCTTGACCTAGATCTGATCCAATATTGCCTTTTATTAATATTCGCCTTCCCTGCCGTATACACCTTGTCTAATTCCTACGCTTGAGCATAGATGGGACATGACAATCATAAATAGGTTATGTTTTATGAAATGGTTCGCTGTAAGAAAAGTAAAATTATCCTGGGTGGACATGACCTAATCTGGTAAGCCCTTAAATGGGATTAGGCTCTGTTTAGAAAGAAAGATTTGAGGCATAAGAAGGATTTGATGAGAGGGAGAACTTCTATCCCAGTGTTTGAAGATAAAAAGGTCACCTGTCAAGGAATGAGAGTGGGCTCGAGGAACTGAGAGTATCTCCCAGTTGACAGCCAGTAAGAAATGGGAACCCGAGTCTTACCACTACAATGAATTGAACTCTGCCACGTAAGCTCAGAAGAGGGCCCCGGGTCCAGATGAGAAAACAGCTCGGCCAACACCTTGGTTTAAGCTTTGTGAACACTAAGCACAGAGCCCAGTAACACTGCGTCTAGACTTCTGCCCCACAGAACTGTGGACAAATAATAGCATTGTTTTAAGCCGCTAAGTTTGTGGTAATTTGTTACACAACAGCAGAATACCATTTTAGGTAGAGAAGTTTAATGCCTGTGTTTAGGTCTGATTATAGTAGAAAGAATCTAGATGGCACAAGACCAGTTAGAAAGTGCTGTAGTAATCTATGATGAGATGATAAAGGCCTGAAGTGTCGACAATAAAAAATCCACAACAAAAAACTAGTAACAGATTGTGAAGGAAGAATCCATTAGACTTGGTGTCCACAAAACCATTCAGGGATAGTTAAATGCTGTAGCAGTGGTCAACTGAACAACTCACTGGAAATCAATCATGAACTTCATCTGATAGCTTTCTTGCTACTAAGTTGGACAATTGTTGAAATACTGCGTTGGATTTTGTGTATGTTTGTATTAGGTTCTCAACTAAAAGACAAACTCCGTGTGGAAAGAATCACTTAAACTTCACGGAATTGAACCGTGGGATCAAATGTTATAGACATGAAATGATGTAATTAAATTACAAGGCACTTCACTAACTGTTAGACTGGCTCAAATCAGAACAAACTGACAATGTCAAGTGCCAAGAAGAAGGAAGAGCCACTGTAACTGACATGCATTGCAGGTGGAATGAAAAACAAGATAGCTACTTTGGACAACAGTTTGTCAGTTTCTTATAAAGTTAAAAATAGACTTATCAGGGCGCCTGGGTGGCTCAGTCGGTTGAGCGTCCGACTTCAGCTCCGGTCATGAGCTCACGGTCTGTGAGTTCGAGCGCCGCGTTGGGCTCTGTGCTGACAGCTCAGAGCCTGGAGCCTGTTTCAGATTCTGTGTCTCCCTCTCTCTCTGCCCCTCCCCCACTCGCGCTCTGTCTCTCTCTGTCTCAAAAATAAATAAAAACATTAAAAAAAAATAGACTTACCTTACAACCCAGAAACCAGTCTTGGGTATTTAGCCCCCCCCCCCCAAATAAAGACATATACACACAAAGCCCTGTACTTAAATGGTTCTAGCAGCTTTATTCAAAATCATCAAAAAGTATAAACAACTCCAGTATCCATCAATTGAAGGATAAATTATAGTATATCTATACAATGGAATACTACTCAGCAATAAAACAGAACCAACTACGGGTCTATGCAACAACACGGATAAATCTCAAAAAGCATCATGCTAAGAGAAACAAGCCAAACTAAAACTACATACTCTATGACCCCACTTATATGACATTCTCAAGTGTCAAAACTCTAGGGACAAGGAATAAATCAGTGCTGGGTTAAGGCCAACAGCTACGGTAAGGGCCGGTAAAAGGGAACTTCTCGGGATAATACAAATATTCTGTATCTTTTCTGTGAAGGTGGTTACAAGTCTATATACATTTTTCAAAATTCATAGAACTATACATCTAAATGGGGTGAAATTTAACATATGTAAATTATACTTGATAAGTCTGGCTTAAGGAAAAAAAGAAAACAAAAATTATACGTACACCAACAAGCACTCCATAGTAGCTTCATTATCTGTCTAGTGAAATAGGCCCCTGTCCAGATCTTTAGAGCTTTTTAAGGCTGGGGGCAAAGCACAGGATGTATTATCGTCCTTCTCTGAACTCCTACCCCCCAACTTCAGCAAGAAGTATATATGTATTAAGTAAAATAACTTATTTGTGCATAAAAATCTGACCAAAACAACAATTGTTGTACTAAAGAGGAAAAGAAGGGAAGAAAATATTTCAGCCGCCCATGTTCAAGAAGAGAAAGAGGTCTGAAAACAAGGAGGGCCTGCCAAGTCCAGGCGGTGTATTTCTGCAAATGTGGACCAGGGCTTCCAGTCTGTTTTTAGCACCAACTGGTAGCATTCCTCGCTCTTCTCCTCTCCTTGGTGCCATATAGCAACAGCTGCTTGAACTCTGAAAACGTTTAGAACCACTCCAAACACAGGCCCATGGGCAGTGTTATCCCCACTGTCCATATCTTAGGTCTCTACCCATAGGCATTCACAGGCATCTATGGCAGGTCAAGTCTCAGGAAGGCCCAGGCGGCACTTCCCATATTCATACTTCTACTGGTGTAAACGTGGACCCAACTGGGAATTTCCCGTTTTTATTTGACCTGACTTGAATGTCGTTTCTGTATAAACAGAGCGCGTGGATTATTCTAAGGCCCATCTCTAATCTTAAAGAAAAGAAGGATTTACCCTATTCTCTTCTTAAAATGTCATACGCAAACACACAAAATTTCTCCAGGCACCCAAATGACGTGGTGGAGGAAAGCATGTCAAATGAGAAATAGGTGTCATGGTAGGGCAGGAAGGAACAACAGCATCAGCAAAAGCACTAATGCTAAGAGGATGTTAGAAATGAAAGCAGCGGCACCTGGCTGGCTCGGTCAGTAGAGCATGTGACTCTGGATCTCAGGGTGGTGAGTATGAGCTTCAGGTTGAGTGTAGAGACTACCTAAAAATAAAATCTTTTAAAAAATAATGAAAGCAAAAGAGTTCTATTTCAGTGCGATAGCATCTAATATGTTCAGAGAGAGGCAGGCATTTCTGTTTGGCTACGTTGGTTGTCTTTCTTGAGTTTTGTCTTAAGACGGATATAAGTTTTTTTAAAAGATTACACACTGCTCCCTCTGAGAATAGAGGAACTTGAATTTAAAATTAACAATATTTCCAATATGTTAAAAATTAACTACATCCCATGGTCAATATTTTCTTAAATAACGATTGTCTATAACAGGCCATTCTGAAGTATAATAAATGATATCTTCTAAATTCTACTAATGGCTGGCATTACTTATGACCCTTTCTGTAGCAATAGCCAATAAAAAAGATCATACTTTCAGTATATACATATCATTTTGAAGACTCTAACATTCAGAAGTGAGTCAATTTATTTAATTTATAGGAAGATGAAAATCGTTCTAGGAATAACATTTTATGATTGTACTCTCATCAATATCTGATACTCTAAATTTTCCTTTTAAACACCTCCATTTTCAACTGTCATGTTTGAATTACTTTTATTATTGTATTTTACCTATTTCAATGTCTACTTCTTTTCTTTTATAAAT